ACAGGCGGTCGCTGGGCAAAAATTATATCAGATTTCAGTATACTTTTTAGCCTCGGCGGTCTGATCGTATAGATTTCAGTATATTGTCAGCCACGGACCCCCTGTGGCTAAAAAGTGTACCAGATTTCAGTATACTTTTTAGCCACGGCGGTCGGTGGCTAAAAAATATATCAGATTTCAGTATACTTTTTAGTCACGGCGTTCTGATCGTATATATTTCAGTATATTGTCAGCCACCGACCGCCTGTGGCTAAAAAGTGTACCAGATTTCAGTATACTTTTTAGCCACAGGCGGTCGGTGGGTAACAATTATATCAGACATCAGTATACTTTTTAGCCACGGCGGTCTGATCGTATAGATTTCAGTATATTTTCAGCCACGGACCGCCTGTGGCTAAAAAGTGTCCCAGATTTCAGTATACTTTTTAGCCATGACGTTCAGAACGTACAGATTTCAGTACATTTTTCAGCCACGGTGTTCTGGAGCTAAAAAGTATATCACATTTCAGTATACTTTTTACTAAAAAGTGTACTGAAATGTGATATACTTTTTAGCTCCAGAACGCCGTGGCTGAAAAATGTATTGAAATCTGTACGTTCTGAACGCCATGGCTAAAAAGTATACTGAAATCTGGGACACTTTTTAGCCACAGGCGGTCCGTGGCTGAAAATATACTGAAATCTATATACGGTCCGACCTTTTAGCCGCGGCGGTCGGACCGTATATAGATTTCAGTATATTTTTCAGCCACGGACCGCCGTTTGTAATCTAAAATGACTGAAAATTGTAAATTTCTCAGTGCTATATTATCGCCATTCACAACATTTCGCGACGAAACTTTGGAATATTACTAATTTTGTGATGCTCTTAATTTCGTGCTATGATAGCATTTTGTCTAGACTTGTTGTGATCAAAATTTTGGTTAATTGGGGAATGGTCCATTCTTAAGAATAAAAGCTTTTAGGCCCCTGGGAATTGAAATCAAATTGCTAATAGATCATAGTGTATTATTGTTGTTGTGCTGTACAGGGTGTATCGAAAAAAGCGCAACCTCGAAATTTCCCAAGAAATCGACATTGTTTTAAAGACAAAAGATTTTAGGTGCCTGGGAATTTTAAATAGCATAACTGTCACAATTACTGCACACGCGAGTGCATAAAGCAAAATTTTCTGCATTTATTTAATGCGCAACAACAGCAATATGATCTATTAGCAATTCGATTTCAATTCCCAGGGGCCTAAAATCTTTTATGCTTAAGAATTGCAAAGTGATTTCTTAGGAAATTCCGAGGTTGCGTTTTTTTTTTATACACCTGTATTACTGTTGTTGTGCTGTACAGTAGAAGCTATTTTAAATTCCCAAGAGCAGGAGGTCTTGCACTTAACACACATATTTCAAGGCAAAGATTTTTTTAATATATGCAACCTGTCAATATTTATGCGCATCCATGCGCTCGGGCATTCCATATCTCCTTTAAAATTTTTTTGAGACAGCCTTCACTGCTTGCAATAGTCGTGTACAAGTTTTCAATAATTTTGATGGAAAAACGATCGCTCTACAGAGTCAAACGTCGCCTGGCAAAACAGGTAAGTGATTTTCTAGTCTATATAGTCGTTTAATTTGCACAATTTTATAATAACTGTGCAACTGAAAACGATACAACGGAGATTGAGTTCCTTCGGCTACCAGCCTAAAAACTATTCCATCATGATTATTTGTGATTCATTTATGGTCACAATATTATATAATTGCCATTAATGATAAATTTTGTATACTAGGAGTGTAACGAAAAATAAATCGTAGACTTCCCACCGGGCACACGACGTTGTTTCAACGTTGAAATTTGGTAGAAAAAAGGATGCGACGTCGACAACCTAATGATCTACGTTGCTCTGACGTTGTTTTAAAAAACATTGGTTCAACAGCAGCCAACAGACGTTGAATCAACGTTCATTCATGGTTAAATGTACGACGTCGATCTCTGAAGTAATCTTAACGTTGTTTCAATGTTGATTCAACGTTGAATTATGGTTGACGAGATTGGCAACCTAATTTCAACGTTGTTTCAACGTCGAAACAGTAACGTCGATCCAATTTGCATTAGCAATCCTTTTTCAACGTCTATCCAACGTCTGGAAGGTCATTTCTATCGTTGATTCAACGTTGTATAAACGTCATTTTGCCCGCTGGGTTATTTCTAGTTTGAAACGAGTAGGCCCCGTGCGCGCATTGTTTTTTTGCAATTTCTTAGTGCATGTTCAAACAACGATTGAACACGCATCAGACCCGTAACTATAAGATTTTATAGCTAATTTACCGAGTTGAGTCGTCGGGGCTCGTGCTACATGTCTTGCATTTTGGGAGCAACAATGCCATGGTCGTCCTGCCGCATTTTGGGAGCAGTGAAGAAAAAAAATCAATCTCGTAAACAGGACAATGTCCGCCAATCTCGTAAACAGGGCAATGTCCACAATGACTGTAATTTCAAAGTGCGGTCTCACAATTGTATGCTATAAGTATACAATCATAAGAATTCAAGTATACTTATTTGGGACGCTAATTCGTACCCTTCACTGATCAGAAATTCAGCCAGAATAAATTTCATTCCGGATCTGTTTTCTCCGGCTAAACCTCATGAACGATCTTCCTGTTTTCAATTTTTTACAAGAAATCATACCGAGTTAACTGAGTCGGTTGACTCATGGCATATAGCTAGTTTCACCCGGGGCATGAACAGTTCATATATACTTTGATATTGGCTACAGCTTACATGTTTATTATATAGAGAATAATACATGGGTGCGCGGAAATGGCCTGATTTAGTTTAGAGTGTTGAACATGATATCTCACCAGTGAGCGCAGCGAACGAGTGAGATATCATGTTTAACACGAGAAATAAATCTGGTATTTCCAACACCCATGTATTTTTCTGTTTATTATATTAACCCGTTGAGTCGCATTGCACCCTGATGCACCCTACTTTAGTATTTTACTCTGTCTAACGCCAGAGTATTTTACTCTGTCTAACGCCAGACGATTTTACTCGTCAGGGGGAGAGCGCTGGCGCTTAATGGTTAACTGGCCTATCTGCCCATGTTTCTAGTTAACTCATTGAGTCGCATTGCACCCTGATGCGCCCTACAGTACTTTAGTATTTTACTCTGTAGTAACGCCAGACGATTTTACTCTGTCTAACGCCGAAGCTTTACAACATTTCGCAACCAAACAGTTTTGCACTTTTACAAATTTCAGTATGTTCTTTTTAGCTGTGGTGTTTGATTCCCTTTTTAGTCTCTGCTTAGATTCAAAAATTTAGTCTAACATGCAAGTTGTCCATTGTTGAATGCAACGCAAAACCAAAATAACCGATGCACTGGAGGTTTGCATGTTGCATTTTGGAACATGGCTTATAAAATAACTACAGCGAAAGACGCAATTTTGATTGGTCAATAACCGTGCTGGATCGAATCATGCAGGCTATCCTGCACGAGGAATTAAAATGCATTCCCGGGATTCTCAAAATGTCATTGTTTCACTGTAGTTATTTTATAAAACAATTACCAAATGGCTTTCCATGCAGGATAGTGTGATTCACGCAATGGAATGTTGTTCGACTTTCAGAAAGCGTAAAAATGCACTCCCCTGTGCCATGGCTCTATAGTATTTCTGTTTAAGGCTGATTTCTACTGTTGGGTTTTTCGTACATAAATAACAATTGCACACTAAAACTTGCTGAACAGTAAGTTCTGTTGCTTTATTTATTTGGTTATTTCGTAATATGGTTAGTACGTATGAAAAACGCAAAAGTAGAAATCAGCCTTCACGCTTTCCGAAAGTCTCGCGACATCCCTCGTGTATGGATCACGCAAACCTGCACAGAAAACCAGTCGATATTCCTTTATTCTGGAACGTCTAAAGCTTACTTGGAACGGCTCAGACGACAACTTAGCCATACTCATAAGGTAGGGGAGGGGCTGCCAACATAGATGTACGCGGTGCAACATTAGGTGTAAGTACAAATTTCCCGACCAAAACAATATTGGGGGAGGGCCTCTCTTATGCTTCAATTCCCAATCATTTTTAAGTCGGGCAGATTAGATCTACTTAAAAGGTCAAGCAATTTTACTGAAAATTCGTAAAAATTACGCAATTCTATATAAAATATTTCCAGAATGTCTCACCCCCTCCTCCCTGTACAATGTTGACGCATGCATGAGTTCACTGCCAAATAAGTTTATTTTATGATCAAAAATATTTTTTGGTGGGGGGTCGGGGAGAAATTTGGCAGTGGACATTATCATCATTAGCAACTGGCCTCCAACAATGCTAAATATCTTATGCTTTTTATAATAAGTCTATACGTGTATTATTTCCATGATTATAAATAATATGCACCTCTGCAGATTCATATATTCATTGTATATATAACATTTATTGTAGGAACTGTTAGTCTCCTTGAGGAGACAAAGGTTAAAATGAAAAACGTATTTGAAGACCACTCAAGTAATGTTCAATGACTTCAAACATGTTATTATTGTGTACATGTTATTCAGTTTATTCACACAGAACACAAGTAATTTTTAATATGATGCTATAGATAGAGGAAGTTTCGAGGTGCCAGACGTGGAAGTGGAAGAGGTCCCGCAAATACAGCATCATCTGGGGGACATAAAAAATGGAAAAATATCTTTCAATGAGCTCCGAAAGCTCGTCCTCCAGATGATGAAACCGAAGACATCACTCGCGGCAGGTAATGGTGTGAGGGCAAATGAATAAATTACAATGCCTTTTTCTAGTTCTTTTGTGTGCTTTGCCTGTACAAATGGAAATTATTGGGGGTGGGGCTTAAGCCCCCCCCCCCCC